TAGTAGTTCTGCATTCTACCCATTCTTCTGCATTTTGTCTGCATTTTGTCTTGCTTTCTAATGGCCATTATTTTGGGGCTTCTCATGATGGTGAGGTTATATTCCACATGACTGAGACATTGAGCCAAAGGGCAGGCTTGAGAACCACATGCATTTTGTTCATGCCTACTGGCCTCTCACAGGTAATAACCACAGGTGAGAAGCCAAGCTCTGCAGCACAGTTCTCCTTGTGCCCTCTCACAAAACACCAGGGCTTGGTGTGGGCTGCTTGCTACATAGGTAGACAATGGGGAACATTACAACTCAGCATCCACCTAGAGTGGGCATCATTCCATGCTTTGCAACATCTCTACCCTGCCTGATTTCTCCTGAGTTCATTTTATTAATTGGTAAGTTTACCAAATGGGTAGGAATATCAAAAACGACAAAGGAGTTAATTCTTTATTTCCAAAATAAGGAAGAGGAGGTAGATTACTAACATTCGTTCATCCTTCAAATGTTGATTGCATGCCTTTTACACTCTGGGTAACTGCTACGCATGTTATGCCTTAGTTCGATATCATGCCATATTGTTTATAAGGATCTCACACCCGCTGGTTCCCTTGGTCCTCACAACAGCCTTGGAAGGTCACATCCCCATTTTGCCTTTATGGAGAGATGCATTGATCTTCCCAAATCTATACCTAGGGACTTTTGATCTCTGGTTTGGTCCTTTGCTCCACTGTGTCCCCTGCTTTCCTTCCAGTGTTGACACACCATGTGGTCTCAGGGAGACCAGGGGTGCTTGCCTGGGCTCATACACTGATCCCATCAGGTCTGGACTGCCTGCTGTTGCCCTCTTCCCTTCTATTTGCCATGAGCAATACATCCCAGCTGGCAGAAGCCTTCATTGGTGAGAGGTACGGGCAGTCTTTAGAGGAGAAGACTATGCACTTCCAGCCCAAGGGTTTTGCTTACAGGCTGCTTATGCCTAGAATCCTGAGACTGTCATGGAGACTGTCCTTCAGTGGCTGTGGTAATAACCTTCCTGCTTCATCCCTGAGAAATGTTGGGAGGATGTCTGCAGTTGGATTAGCTTCATGTGTCACTCACTGTCTTGCTCATCCACGGGTACTGTTAGGTATCCCCATAACCCTTTTGTCTCTGTTCCTCTTCTTGCTCCCTACTCAGCAACAAGATGGCACCTGAGGCTCACTACCCATCAAGCTGATGGTTGTAAGTTTGGACTGTCGGCAGCAGACAAACTTTTTTGTGCATTGAGAATTCAGTGGCTTGATGAATCCATTGTTTGTCTTTTCCTCAAGGCTCCAGGGAGCTCTACTTTTCATGATCCTGTACTGTAGGTACTGCACGTGATAACGGGACTATTGCAGAACTCCACAAGTAGTCCAATTTTATCTAAAGGAAATTGTCTATTTCCGGGCCTGATTTTGATGAGAGGTGCCAAGGGTTCATTTTTAAAACATCAAGAGACCCTCTCTGATGGAAAAATAATTGGTTTTATTTTTACAATACCAAACTTGTGGTAAAGTCGTCATGCTTCCCCAGGCACCTTTGTTGAGAGAAGGAGGCTCTTCCTTCTGGTATGATCTCCCTCCAGAGATCATAAATATAAAGCAACATTTTGAGGCTTGGATCAAATGTGATCCTCAGATTCAGCCTCCAATTTTCCCAGGGCTGTCTTCCTCATTTCTTGCTGAGATGCACTCCTGACCCCTTTTTGTCCTGTGGCTGGTGTGACTGGGCTTCAGTGGTTCAGGTTTCACTCTGTGCCCTTGGCCTGCCCTTGCCTCTAGTCTCTCCACCTAAGTGAACCAGTTTAAGAAAAGCTTTCCTTTGTTAAAATGTAATTTCATTCTCATTCTCTTTCTCTCTCTCTCTCTCTCTCACTCTCTCTCTCTGTCAGGGAAAATTCCAAGGAGATTTAGAGTGAGAAAGAAGAGGAAGGTGTTTCTGTGGTGAGCAGTTTTGAGACCAACGGTCGCATTACCATTCATTATGATCACAGAGCAGCGATTAGACTGATCTGGGCTCTGATTTCCCCTTAGAGCTGCAGTCATCAGCACTGTCATGGCATGAGGCTTCAACCCAAGAGGTTTTGTGCCCCCATTTATTACAATACTTGGCTTTATAAGCAGTGGAAACCCTTAAGAATAACCCTTCTTGGGACACAGCTGTAGAATTTGATCTTAAGTGTCCATCCCCATGCTTCTCAGTGTTAATGGCTTGTAGTTCCCTTTTTAAACTTTGAGAAATCTCCTTTTAGTTTTCTTTTGATTTTTCTTTGGCAGTAATTCATGGGTTTTGGAAACTGATTTGTAATACCATAAAGACAGTATTCAAAGGAAAGGGTCACACCTGTGCAATCTTTTCACAGAACAGTTCAATAAATCTACCATATGTGTATAGATGTCCAGACAGGGCAGACAGGACATTTTTCCTTAGCTAGCTTGGCTCTTCCTTGTAGGGACTCACATTCATTGTCTTTTCCCAGACATTCCTAATTGCTCTTCTTTGCATGGTTAGTGAGTATCAAGAGAAGCCAGTGATGTCTTATAAAGGAAGCACATATTCCAACCTCTGAGCACATCACAGAGGATCAATTCATCAGGTTCTCAAGGGGGCATTTTCCTCAGAGACCACTCTCCCAAGGCTGTAGCACTTGCTTACACTGTTTTTGCTTTGAGCTTCTGTAGCTTCTCCATTCTCTACTCTCACGTATGACTTTTCCTGCTTTATTTCCTTTATTTGGTCCTTACATTTGACCTTAGGACCAACTCAGCCTCACATTACAATCTGGATATATCCCAGGGTTTCTCAACAGCAGCACCATTGACATTCTTAGCTAATAATTAATTCATTGTGGGGAAGGGGCTGTCCTGTGCATTTTAGAATTTTTAGCAGCATCCCTGGTCTCTACCCACTGGATGCCAGTAGCACCAAAGGGTGCCAAATCCTAACAATAGAAAGTGAGCCCCCCTCGGGGGCAAAATATTAACAACTGGTGTAGGGAAAGGAGGGCTATTTCTTTAGCTGCTTCCATTGTCATAGCAGTATCTGAGTGTTGTACTCCAGCAGAAACTGGTATCCATTTGTTTATCTAACTGATGAATCAAATACAGACTCCCAATTAAGTCCTGGGAAGAAGCAGTGTGCCCTTATTTCCTTCTTGAAGAGCCTTTTTCAATAGTCCAGAATAGCCTGTGCATGTGGGGTGATGTAACTTGCAGACTCTGCCTCTGCTGACCTCTGCTCTGAAGCGCTTTGTGCTCTTCCAAAGAAAAGCATCATGAAAACATGGCGTGTGAGCGTGGAAAAAGCTTTGCTGTTCCATCTATGGGACATAGGCCTCCTGGTCTGTATGGCCTCCATAGAGTGACTTAAAAGGCCCCCAAACAACCTCACCACATTCCTCCACTGCACACATCCCACACATACCCCTGTCATTGCACTGTGAAGTGTCCTTGGGTTCTGAGTGGATGGTTGCTTATAACTCCAGAAAGGAAAGCTGTTACTTACAAAAACCTCATTTTGAATTTAGGACATACTCTCCACCTCAATAGGTACTTACAAAAACCTCATTTTGAATTTAGGACATACTCTCCACCTCAATAGGTACTTGGAACAAGTTTTATTTCATGTAAAGAGGTAGGAAAATTATGATGAAATGATTCTCTAGAAAGTCTTCTAGAAGATAGAGAAGGGAGGTGAGAAAATACAGCCCCTTGAGACTGAACTGGTCTTACTAAGAAAAAAAATCAGTAATGTGTATTGAACCGTGACTGAGTCCCAGGTAAAACCTCACATTTGCTGTTCATAACATAAGCCTGAGAGGGAGGTATAATAATTCTCTCACTTTACAGATGAGAGAATTGGGTGGACCTCCCTTCACAGTTTATTAAGAGCTGTCCTCTGTTACAGATCCAAGAATGCCTGAGTAGGTTAAATTTATGCTAACTCAGAAGTTATGTTGCCTATATTCTGCTACTGGCAGGTAAAAGGGCAATAATTTGTAACATGTTCAAAATCATTATTGGTAACACCAGCAAAACTCCTAGCTCTCCCTGTTTCAGAGTCACCTGGGGTCCCAGAGACTTTGATATGCCACAACCCTTCTAGGTGGCTGGAAAAGTGAGGAGGACACCCCTTTCCCCCAAGTTGAGTCAGACTCCCAAGCAATGCTGCTTAAACAACTATGCACTGTGTTTCTGATACAATCAGAGGGCAGTTCTCCTGGAAGCCCCCATTTGCACAGTTTCCTGTGGACCCTGGAACAGAGTAACATTCAAAACAGATAGCAGGCTTTATTCTCCCTCCTCAGCTTCTCCCATGGCACCTGTGCACACCTCTTCCAGCCTCAGACCGCCTGCAAATGAACCCCATGTTGACCTGTCTGCCACTTCAGCAGCTGTCTAGATGTGCAGCATTCTGGCTGGAACCTGGAGCATGTCTCCCACCCCTGACACCACACCTATCCCATGTGGCTTAAAGATTAGTTTAAGGACTGGAGTTCCTAGAACATCCCTGTTGATGACAAAAATATACAGCTTTGCTTTATTACAGATATTGTTGCAAAGACCAGATGTAGGAAGTACCTCATTCTCTCAGTTTATGGGTGCCTGCTGTCCTAACCAACATCCTGGCCTTTTCAACATGGAACCACGCCTGATGGCCCTGTGCACACAATATTCATGCTCATACCTCCGCTTGCTCAATGAGGCGAAAGTGAAATAAGAAAGGCTGTCTCTTGTTGCTACCTTACTGCCCAAACTGCATTTTCATCCAGAGTTCTCATTTGAGGATATGCAAATCTTTATAATCGAGTACCTGCATTGTTTGCTGTGCAGGCTTCTGATTCCAGCAGGCATGCAAGTTCTCCCAAGATTCTTCCTGCCTAACCAAGCTGTTTCCTCAAGCACATCCCTCTCCACCAAGTGCTTTCAGAACCCCCTGCATTTCATAACATTTACTGAACTTTCCTTTTTCTTTTTTTTCCACAGTGTGGCAAAGGAGCTGAAAACTTTGACAAATTCTTCACACGAGGGCAACCTGTCTTAACACCGCCAGATCAGCTGGTCATCGCTAACATAGACCAGTCTGATTTTGAAGGGTTCTCATATGTCAACCCACAATTTGTGCATCCGATCTTGCAGAGTGCAATATGAAACTCACTAATGAGAGCAAATGCTTCCCCATCCCCCAGCCTCCCCAGCAATGGGAAATGATCCTTAACCCTAAAATTTTAAGACCAGGGCCTTGTGTCTTGTTCCACATGGAGGCCTGAAAATTGTAGGGTAATTAGTTCACATGTGATCAACTTTTCAGGATCTCCCTCTTACAACCAAGAACATTATCTTAGTGGAAGATGACATAATGTACAGTGTCCAGTTTAATTACATAGCTGTCACATCTGGCTATAGGTTAACCCTTCCTAGAAAGCAAAGAGACTCTAACCCCTTTTTCGGTACGATTTGATATATTCTCCACACCCTCCATCTATGGATTTTCACCATCAGGATCCCCCAACCAGAGAAGTTAAAAGTGAACCTATCCTAGCCCAATGGGCTGGAAACATCTTCACCCAAGATGTCTTTGGAATCAAAGAATGGGGAGCCCAGAGAGTGAGCAAAGAGTGATTGGGGGTGGGAAAGGCTTCAAGATAAACAATGCATCTGTTGTCTGCTTCAATGGAAACCGTCCCTAGAATCTGAGAGACCAGGATGAACCTAATCACTGTTCCCATCTTCATAACTCAGCCACAGTCCAGCAGTTTAAGAAAGAAAGAGAACTGCAGATGACTGTTGGGTAAATCTATCATCTGTTACCATACTTGGTTGATAACTGTCTTGATATTTGCATTCTTTTAAAGAGGCCAAATTGTCTACAGATGTTGCTAACAAGCATGTGAACAGATCCAGGATAAACCAGCGTGTATGTATGTTCATTTTAATCTCTGGGAGATTATTCTTCGATCCAGGGTGCCATCAGTAATCATGCCACTAATCACGAGTGTTGTTAGCCAACCCCCCCCACACACAATATTTTGCTACCTATGTTGTTACCCTTTCTAAGAAGCTGAAGTGTACACCCCACCCCCTTTTGTACTTATTTATTTAATAAGCTGCAGCGTCATTTATGAAAGTATGATGTACAGTAACTTAATCAAAGTATCAACTCAAGCACCAATCCCCATTGGTTGATTTTTCTGTCCTTTCTCTACCCTTTGACATCCATTTAGGGATGAAAACTAATATGGTTTGGGTTCCCATTTCCAGTTCCTGTTGAATGACACACCTGGAGCTGTAGAATCAACATACCTGGATGCTTATTAGCAATTCTTGCTAGAAAGATTTTAATATGTTTTGCAAATGCATCATGCAATGGAGTTTGCATGTTTATAATAAATCTTAAAAACAAATGAATCTATATTATTGATATAATTGTATCAACTATAAAGAGTATTATAATTTTATAAGACACAACTGTGCTATATTTGTAGAGATTCATGTTTCCAGTCTGCTTTTTATGATTAAGTTTTAACTTAATTATTTGTGCTTTCTCCTCCCCTCCTTCCCTGCACATTAGCACTGTATCAGATATATTAATTTTCTAATGTAGATCTAATTTCAAAAATGAATGGCTACTTTACATGTTTTAATTAGGCTTTTACTATATGTATGTATATGTGTGTGTATATATACACACACACACACACATATATATATGTATATATATATATATTTGATTCTACCTGCAAACTAAAGTTTTGTTTGTGGGGAATTTTTTTGAGATGAAATGCTCTTAGCTTCTTAATGTCATCCTCTCTTTGGGTTCCTCCACCACTCTTCCTCTTGGGGGCAGCAGGAAGTGTTGACTTTAGTATGACTGGTATGTTTGTGTGCATGTGGCATTGTTAGGGCACCTGGGCTGAAATGTGTGAGTGTGTGTGGGGTGTGTGTGTCTGTGTGTGTGTGTGTTCTTCCTTTCAGCTTGTGACTATGGAGTCTCTATCTAGGGATGTGAGGGATGAGAGACTCCCTTCTTGTTCTGTGTACCTGGACACAGCAGAAGCGTGCAATCCGTCTTGCTGCCCCAGAATGACACACTGTTTGCTCCAGCACACACAGACTTAATGAGACAAACTGTGCGTCAGCCTCTGAGCACAGCCATCTCCTGCAGTAACCACAGATTCTTTTCAAAAGCAACATATTTTCTTCCAACTGTTGCTGGAATTGGCTATTCCAGTCTTGCAAAGAGTACTTCTTTGCAAGGTCCAATGCAAGGTCCTCAGAAGAGCCAGGCTTCTGCAGCATAAAGAACAAGTCAAAACGAAGGTTCCTATCAGTTCTCATAGAAAGCTACTCTATTTCCTCCCAAAAGCATCTCTCAGCTAAACGCTTCTTGTTATTACTCTCTGGCTGTTTTCCTGAACATACAACCATAAAGGGTCTCTGAGGAGAGACATGTAAGTGTTACTGGAAACCCCTGATTGGAAGGAAAGGTGAAGTAGAGAATAAACAGACCAGAAAAAAAGCACACTTAATGGACCCTAGAGTTCTAAACTTAAAAATGGTCCTCACTCAACGATTCCTAAAGTACTGCTCGTCAGTGCACATTCTGAAGATGCAACCTCATCAGGACATCACATTTGGGCTGACCAGTAAAGGAACTGGTTTGTAGAATGGGCCTAGGAGATAAGAGGGCCAGTTCCTTGCCCGAGGGGGAGCATTAATAGTGCTGGGCTGCACCTGCACCCCACAAGATGAGGAAAGCCTCAGAAAGGAGCACAAAGGACTAGTGCCATGTGTCCTAGTGTGTCCAGATGCCTGCTTGTTTTAAACGAGAAGTAGGCTTGTTTTTCTCCTTGGAACAGCCAACACAGAGTTCCAAGTTATTCCTACTTCTCTAGGAAATGCATTCAAGCTGTCAGCTGGCTTGTGTTCTTAGAGAATGTCGGACAACATTTTTCAAAGAAAGGACCCTGACATGGCACCATCACCCTGCCTAAGAAACAGCAGCCTGAGGAACAAACTTGAGGAGAAAATGGTAAAACTCGGGACCAGGAGTAGTGTTCACCATGTAGCCTGTTTTCTGTATTGCTCAGCGTTACATTTAGATACCAACTAATGCTTTAAAGATCTGAGCAACCCAAGACCATCACTGCTGAAAAGGCAAACTTATGTGAATACACAGTCAATTGACCAAATTCTATGGCATTGTCCCTCTTCCAAGACCCTATGTGGAATGGAGTGGCAGGGAAAGGTCTACTTTTTGAGCTTGAGCAACTGTGTTGGAGACTGGCAGCAGAAGGACACCTTGAAGGATTGCTTCCCTGGGGGACTCTAGGAAGTACCTGCCCCTGATCACTGCCTGCATTGCCAGGGCCCGAGGAAGAGAATCTAGCACAAACCGAGTCTCCATAAGACTCATCAGGCTTAAGGCCATTGAAGTTATTTTGCATTATTTTCCCTTAGAAGGTGGCCACTACTCAGTGGCAAAGCTTCCCTCCAAGGCTGCAGGCCAGTGGGCTGGCAGCCCTGCTTTTGCCATTGCATCTAAAGTCACCCAGTGCTTGTTCTGAATGGAAAGAGCTGGCATGTCCTGCCAGGTGCAGCCCTCGGGGGTTAATAAGAGGCTCATCTCCAGGCAGAAAGTAATTCAAAAGGCATATGAGAAACCCCAGGAACTGATGTGTTTGCTCCTCACCATGTCTGACTCTTAATCTGTGGCCTAGTTTAAGTTAATACTGAATCCCTGTCTGCCTTTCCTTATGGGATGTATTAGCCTTTCATTAAGAATTCTGATAGAAAACCAGGGGTCAACACCTGTATGGAAGCTTAGCTGAGATTGTTGGTTGAAAGATTATCACAGGCCAAGATCAACAAACCTAGCTATGGGTTGTTGAACACCTCTGTGAGCAAAAGCCCTTAGCAGAGTGTGGTGACTTGCTGGTTAAGGGTGTTGACCCCAAGAAAGCCACCCATTGTCATGTCAAGCAGGGAGATGTTGGTGGAGGCTGAAGGCAGACAAGTCAGAGATGAGTAGGGTTTGAGTGTATCTGGAAAGACACGCCTGAGGGAGAGGGAGCTGCAGTTTCTCCAGAGGCTGTGCTTTGGAGGTTGCTGGTGCCAATGAAGTTAACATCTGTTGGTCTTCAACAGTGTGGTTTCTGCCAGGGACACAGTCTGTTGCTCCTCAGAAAATACCCCCAAATGTCAACGGCATCCTCAGCAGTCATGATAGCCCTGTGTCCCTCCCTAACTTGAACTGGCTCACAGTTCTCTGGAACCCTGAAGTGAAAAGAATCATCCTTTCTTCTCTGTGCCTTCCTGCCAGGAGTATGGAGCTGAGAATGGATGGAGAAGTTGCAAAGAGAGTTCCCACCTGCTTCTATTAGCAGGAGAAATGGGGGGGGGGGGTTGCCGGGCTTTGTTTTCTCAATATGTAAGAGGGAGGGAAAGTGAGTCTTAGGGTTTTAAAAGCCTCAGAAAGTTAACGCCATCTGACAGTCATTTTCTCACCTTGGTCTTATGAAGTCACCTACGTGTCGTGTGCACACATCACACTGCTTCCTGTCTCTTCCTAGCCCCGCAGTGGTAGGAGGACCTGTTTCCCCACTGGTCAGAGATGGACCCTGAGCCAGAGGCTAGAAAAGAATGACGAGCTTGAGAGTTACGAGACCGTGATAGGCATGACAGTGTGAAGGGAGGAAAAGGGCATCCTGTTATTAGTAGCTTCACATTAACTTGACAAGGAGCACTGGGAACTATTTTTAAAAATCATTTTCCTTGAGCTGTTTGAGCTACCATTTATGAAAAATGCTGGACTGTCGACTTGCGTGTCATAACCCATTAGGGCCAATGTGGTGAGTCGAGGGAATGCCTCGACTAGATTTTTTCTAAAAAAAATCTAGAAAATTGGAAACATTTTCCTGAGTTATATATGGATGAGGCAGTTACCTGGAAATGGTGACAACCACAATCCTTTGATGTTGGAACTCTGGGAGGGTTATAAGCATGCAGAACTCTGACCCTGTGCCTCTCATCTGTATGATCAGGTGTCAGTAACCACATAGGACACACTCAGTCATCAAATAGCCTTAAATGACCCTACACTTAAGCCCACAAGTTCCAAAGACTTTTCTTAATCTAAAGGAAGAAATTAATTTGTCAATTCCAATAGAACAACTGACCATACTGGACTATTTGTACTTTTTTATAGAGAACTTTAATAATTCTTTTAAAATGAGTTTTTAAAATGAAGCTCTGACACTTTCATAAAACTGCAATCTCATGGAGCCTATAGAAGGATTCTTGGGTCAGCTAGAGCACCCCCACCTGCATTCCCACTGCAGATGTTCCTCTACTGGTGGGGTACAGAGAATCTATGGCGCTGATGCTCTGTTTTTAATAGTCACTGGGGGCAACTGCCTAAGGCTTAGTGATTTCCAGCTATAGGAAAGGTGGCCTACTACCCGATGCGGCCCTAGGAAAGCATTCTCAGGGGTCTGTAGCACCCCTTTCCTTACTCTGTGAGGCTCTGTAATATTTTGGCAGGAAGAGGGGGCACTTCCTTAGCTCTGTCCCCAGTCCCCTCTAGTCCCCAGGTCACTTACGTTTGGTGAAAATTCAGAGATGCCCCATAAGGATTCTGCCCACTGGGCAATTCGGAGATACTTCAACATCCCAAGAAACAAGCAGCTGCAGCAAATGTGCCTACTGCATCTGTTTCACAGTTACCATGTATGGGAGTAGAGGGGATGCTTCTTTACAGAAAATGGGTATCCAGTCCACTTTATAGGAACCTTTTTTTTCTAATTTCTAAAATAAGACAAAAGGCAGCTTTGCACTTTCTGATTAAACTTTGTCTACGTCTATGCTCACCTTCAGGAGCGTCTAGTTCTGTGGTGGTTTGTAGACCTTTGTTAATATTCTTCCTGGAAGGATGCCATGCTTTTCTTGAGGGGTTTAGTGAATTGTTCAACATCATACATGAAGGCAGGTACTATTTTGAGTCTAAGGGTTTTCTAAACTTGAACTCACATCCTTATTGTTAAGGTCTTTCAGAATATCTTTTATAGATGGTCAGAAACATTTGAAAATGCTTTTCTACGTGATTTTTTTTGTTTTGTTTTGTGAAGGCCATGTTTCAGTCTGTAATTGAAAAACATCAACCAAGATCCCAAATGTGTATGGAGGAAGAAATAGAGGTTAGTTTTTTCCTTCCGTGGAAGCATCTACTGACAATGGAAGGGCCGTGGAGCTGTCACATAGCATTTGGTTTCCCAGCAGGTGAAACGGATGTATACATTACTGCATCGCTTTCCTCGATTTGTATGACTTCTGATCTTCGTTTGCATGATCTGCATTGTTAGACACATTAATTGTAGTTTGGAAGCAAGTGTGTATGAATAAAGGTAATGACCATTCCTCAGTATGCTTGGTCTCCTTGGCATCCCTTTGCGGCCTGCAGTTATTTTTTGATGAGGTGTTCATTT